CTAGCCTTTGGCCCATAGCTAAACCTCTTATTTGCCTAAAGTACTGCCCTGCCCAGCGGAAGATGCTACAGTCGAGACACTCGTGAAGAATCGTCATCAGCTGCCCCGTAGTGAACCCGCACAGATTGATGGTTTGCTGATGTTCACATAGAAGCTCAAAGATAGCTTGCATGGCTGCCTCGTTGGACACGTTCGTGTACAATGATGTCACATCGAAGGACTCCATGACACTACCATGTTCCAAGTTTGCATTCCTTAACCTGTCCAAAAACATGTTTGTGTTTGTGAGATGAGCCGGAATATGTTTTAGAAGCGGCGATAGAATTTTGTTAAGCAGCCATGCTATCCTATCTGTGGGTCCTCCTTCATTACTTATAATGGGCCTTACTTTGTATGTACGGGGGTCCTTGGAGGCAAGTTGTGTGTCGCTGAGCTTATGGGTCTTTATGAGAACATACAAGACGGGGCAGGTAGGAAGATCGCATTTTAGGCGAGCAATGATGTTCTTAGAAATCCCAGCTGTTTTTGCGATGTCTGCCCAGACCCTGTTTAGACGGCGTACCGAACTGCGTCTGCAATCCTGTGTCGTACCGAACTTCATAAAGAAGAAACGAATACACGACATATGCGGATTACCAGAAGACAGCCAAGCAGTAAAAGAAATTGAGCGAAGAATTCTGCGAACGGCACTCAAGACTAAGAGAAATCAGATGTATTCTTTGATACCGAGATGTGCTTATAAGGAAGAATGTTGTCAACGTTTGCTGTCGGCCCCACTCTGGCGGAGAATCGTGGGTGAGTCAAAGATCATTTGTGATAGTGTCCGTTCTAATGCTAAATCAAGGCTACAGAGGAAGTTTGAGAGGTTGATAGATCAAAGCTCACATCATACACGAAGAGTACTCAGCAGTAACAGTTTATTTAGTCAAGAAAACCACCAAAACTTAGCCACTTCTAATAGCGCATGCATAGGATCCCGGGTTACGGTCATTGGAAATGCACTCATCTCTAACAACGCGCTTTCTGTTTTAGACCTGGGCCCTAGTTTTTCACCGGTGCAATCAATCGGCCCTAAGGTTGTACGCAAGATCGTGGGAAACCTTCAATACGTTCACGATCGCTTACGCTGTAGAGCAAGGTGCGAGGAACAGCAACAGTCACGACCAAACGTAAGCGATAGGACTTTTCCAATGCCGCCGTTCCCTAGTTTATTATTTGAGCCGCAGGAGCCTGTCCCTTCCGTGGATTGCAAGTTCAGGCAATTTGCTAGTTCGGTTTACAGTGTTTTACAGCGCTGGTCCCATAAGCACCCCACTAGCAATCTTACACGCGCACAAAGAATAGGTTTGCAGGAGCTACATGATCTCTGCTCTCGCAGAGAGATCAGAGTTTCCGCGAGCGATAAGGGCGGCGACTTTGTGGTTATTTTACGCGATCTTGAGTACTCTGCGTTGATACCACTGCATAATACTTTGTACCTTCCATCGTCTAGACAAGAGTTCGAAAAGCAGTACCGCCGTCTAAACAGGGTCTGGGCAGACATCGCAAAAACAGCTGGGATTCCTAAGAACATCATTGCTCGCCTAAAATGCGATCTTCCTACCTGCCCCGTCTTGTATGTTCTCATAAAGACCCATAAGCTCAGCGACACACAAGTACTCTGCGTTGATACCACTGCTT